GCAAAAATACAGGTTAGGGATAGCACCTTGTCAATGCGGCCTAGATGAGGGATTATCAATTCACATTTTCTTCAATTGTCCTAGATACCCTGTCTTCCTTTAAAATATCCATCCACCGTACATTCCCAAACCCACTAATTTCAAATTGATTTTAAGTTAAAGTAACTTTCCATTTTAGATAGTTACTAGACGGACAGACGAGCTTAAACAGTTTGGGAGTTTACTGGAGAAGAATAGCCTAAACAGATCTGAGTTGAAAAGATTAGAAACAGCATTTCTTCAAAGATTCGAACATCAACTAGACAACCTGTCGAGGCTGGGTTCCGAACCTGGGGGTAATTACTCCTCCGGGGGTAAATCAGCCATACTTCGGGGGTAACAAAGAACTTAATTATTTGGTCAAATCTAAATAATAAGAAAATACTATATAATAATACTACTAATTAGAACATGCGCTCCTTCTTGCTAGCAAGCCTACGGGGTGCAGAGTGTGGGAAGCGGGGATTATATCCTGATGATGACATTATTAGAGACGAAGATATAGAGGCCAAATTGGAATTTCTTGGATTGATGATAACATTTTAAAGTTGGGGTAAAAACTGTTTTCCTAATAGGTTACAAGGGTAGCAGTATTGGAAAGGTTAGGAAACACTGCTGTAGAGGCTTGGGGAGGCCTTGTGTCACAAACACGATACATTCATCACTAAAAAACAAAATTTTCAATCATTGTTTAAAAACTGGTAAATGGTAGTTAATAAACTCTCCATTTATTGATGTTTTTTGAGATTCTATAACTAACAATAACATCAGGCTATAATTTTCTCGTCTGTACTAACACTGCGTGTAGATATTGCGATGCGTCTGTCCTTGTTTTAAGTTTGGATAAGAGAGACCTCAGTTGGCTCGTTGTCTAAAAGTAGTCCAAAATTTTAATTAATTTATTAGAAACACATTGTACTTTCACAGTCACATTAACAGAGCAGGGTCTACAAAAAAGGAAAAAGTGAACCAAAAAGATTCAAAGAATAATCAAAAAATAAGAATAAGATCCTGGGTCTGTTTCTCAGCAACAGTTGTTATTACGATCTAAATAATAAAAAAAATTTAGGCAGCAAAGCTCTAATAGACAGATCTCTAATTGAAGTTGTATTTTTGAAACGGGCAGTTAGTAACACGGTTCGATCTTCATATTTTTAGTATACAACCTTAAAAACATAATTACACAAATCTGAAGCGATTGTAATAATGAGTACATAATATATAAAAATACTTAGTTCAGTTTAGTTCAATTTCGTATACAATCACACACGAAATACTTTAATTGCAAAACACAAGGTATTAAATATGTACCTGAAATTTGAATTGGCTTACGATATATACAAATAGTTGAATATGAAGGCAAAAATATATATGTATCACACTATTTTTCTCACAACAAATTTCCAAAGTACAGTCTACCGTATGTTTAAGTCACTTTATTTTATTTAAAGTAGAGATGACATATAAGCACAGAGCTCTGCTGTTGATGAGAGATACTGAGCTTATAAACTCTTGCAACACTGGAAATGTAATGTGTGCATTGCCAATCTCGATATCAGGGGGGCAATCGCCTAACGAAATTGCTATGGCTATCGCTTAAGATTTCATTTTGTTATTTCTAACCGTGGAAGGTTTTCAATTGCCTTGAGTTCCTTCTTTTCTTTTGCATTAGTAATAACAATATTAATGAAAATGAGCGTGAGGTATCTGAAAACCTTCGGCGGTCAGAAAAAACAAAATGAAATCATAAGCGATAGTCGTAGCCTAAGCAATCCTATTAGGCAATTGAGCCCTGGAGCTCTTTAATTTATTAAGATCTAAAAGTGGCAAATCTCCAACATTACTAATTCATAACGTATGCTTATGAGACTCACTATCGTCACATGTATTAACACTATACAAGTCTCTGGACGTTCGTCACATCACTGTAGTTCGTTCACATTCCACTAGTATTCGGTAACCTGAAAAATTAAAACATTTTATGAATCATAATAATCTTATAGTTTATAGCAACTCTATGCATAAAAGATCCATGTAAATGACTGTGTTAAGACATGCATCTGTGGATATGTTCCTTACTGTTAAGATTTATTTTCTGTGGTAACGACAAGGATAGAGGATCTTGCTGTTGAGGGTGGTTAGTGCATTCGGCTGCGATCATTGAAGTTAAGCAACTTTCGCAGTGGTCAGTCATTGGATGGGTGATCAAAAATCTTCTATCTCGAGTTTCTCTATGCTTCGGAAGGCATGTTAAGCTGTGGGTCAAGGCCCAGATTTTTGGGGTGCATCCTAGCAGTTGATAAGGTATCTGGGCATGGATATAATCAATGATTAGTAATATGTTGATTCATAGCCGTTTTAATAGTCACCTTTGTTGCAAAGTTTGAGAAAACATACAGTATATGCTAAAATCTACTATAAAACTACTTTATATTATAATAGAATGTGCAAATAACCAAAAAACCTGGACATGAAATTTTAAAATTTTGAAGATATACTCCATTTTACCCATCTGAACGCCTTTTTTTTATCTTACCTGAGTTTACCGTAACGTAATTAAAATAGATTATAGGCATGACGCATTGTGTACACACTGTTTTATAGTAAATTTTATGGAGAATACAAATATATATAGTTTGTACAGGGTATTCATACAAAATAACAGAGATATCAGCGAAACAATGCAATCGTTCCCACCCAGCGGGGGGCCCCTTAAAGGAGTCAAACACTTGACGGTGCGAACGGCGCATGACCACCAACACAGGAGAGGTTATAAACCTGTTATAAATATAATGAACTTACTGGCTAAACTGTACTTCCAGGGCCCAAGTGGTGGAACTTCACACTAGGTTAGATTAGTGTTGTGACCTTTTCAACAAAACGTTGTGAAATGCCAACTTCTGGGCCTAGAAAGTACAGTTTTACCTGGCCGTTTTATAATAATACATTACTTAATTATATTATGCCTACTACAATGACGTTTTGTAGAGGTTTGTAAAGGTCTGACCAAGTATTACAAATAAGGAATATTTTATTAGTACTTACCTCAGCATTCCATCGGTGCTATAGAATTGGAATTATCACCGTAACCACTAAGACTGCCGTGGAACTCCATACCACTGATTTGGCTGTCAGCATTGAAGGAGGCTCCATAAGAATCATTGCTTGGAGCGTGTGAGGTTTCCAAGTTACCATCACCGGAGTCGGCCGCCGCAGCAGCGTCCGGTTCCGCCCAATTTATCTTGAACCTTGTCACTCTGGGCTCTGAAGCCAGTATATTCCTCACAACTTTGTCGAACTGGGGCTTCGCCGGTGGGTTCTCTCTCAACTCTGGTTCCGTGTCACTGTATTCGTTATTTATGAAATACCCAACTCTAACGAACTCTTGGCCGCGGTACGAACACGTCAATAACACGACTGTAACCCCCAACGCGTCATTTTCAGGTATACGGTTCACGTCCGGCGGCGGTGCTTGGAAAACAAACATGTGCCTGCCTTCTGGTATTGGACCGACGTAAATTGTGTCTAAAACTTGGTCGTGTTCCTCCGTTTCTGCTGATCCCACGTAAATCATTTTCCATTCTAGGTCCTCCTTCAGTTCTTCTATGCACTCAAAGGTCAATTCGAATTGGAAAGGGTTTAGAAATGGACTAGGATTGTCGAGGACGACAACATTGGTTATATGCACCTTAGCCATTGTATCAAACTATTCACACGACTAGATGTAAGCAATAATGCTATATCACGATCAATATTACGTATTTAAATAGATTTATTTTTTAAATAATATTTTATATCCGTGATTTTATGCAGGTCGCAGCTTGCACAAAAATTGCGGTCTGTAAAAAATGACAACTGTTTTGGCGGTTGAAATGATCACGTGACCAAAATATGTTCCGACTAGGGATGCTCGATGAACATCGATGTTCGATGATCATCAATGTTGAAAGCAAAAACATCGCTGTTTTAACATCGATATTACTATACGAAAAATATCGTAACATCGATGTTAACGGCATCTATCATCGATGTTAACTCACGGCCTCACGCACGACACGACCAATGCAACTTACGAAACAAAATATGTCTTTTATGAACGCATCCACAAATCAAGTTTATTTTGAACGCGTATTCATTGAGGGCGCACCGGTCGTTTGTTCTTTTCATTCGTACGTTCTTCGTCGTCTCCTCGCTCGCCAGATCCAAGTGATCCAACAGAACAATTTAATTTGAGGATTTATTATATAATATAACATTATAAACTTGTAAATGTCAAAAACTCTACGCCTTCTCCTCATGATCACGAAATGCCTTCCGAGTTGAGCTACTTTTTGAAAAATCCAGTATCTGATCTTAAACAAGATCCTATCCAAGTTTGGAACAATGTCCTCGGTTCCACTTACCCGAAATTGAAAAAAATAGCGGTGAAATATTTGAGTACTATCGCGACATCAACGCCATCCGAAAGACTGTTTTCAAAAGCTGGCTCTACTCTTTATCAACAAAGAAATAGATTAAAAGGTTCTTCATTATCAAAATTACTCTTCCTTCAGTCAATTGATACAAAATATTGGAATATGTAATCATTTGATCTGTTTCTTAATAAATCCCGAACTTTTACAGTGTTTTATTTTTTTGTCAGTTATTATTGCATAAATCATCGATGGTATCCAACATCGATGTTCGGTTTTCGATAAATATCGAACATCGATGTCGGGCTTTCGATTATGACATCGATGTCAACATCGATGTTTTTCGAATATCGATCATCCCTAGTTCCGACCATAGCTCCTCTTGCGGACAAAAACCGAACTACAATTAAAAAGTTACATGTTTTGACAGTACTTTAAACGACAGGAAAATCATACATTTTTTACTAGTTTTCAGCTTACGATTTCATTAGACAAGTTAAAGTCGAAACAGAATTAAGAAACAATACTGAATATATTACAAACACTTACAGTTTCAGGATTTTAACAATACTTTTCCCAGTAAACATGCGAGCTAGAAACGTCAACGCAAACCACAGACAATTTTATTTTATTTATTTTTAAATATCATTCATAGCCTTCAATACCAAGAGTTCCAGTCACTTTTTTTCTCTGAGTACTGAAACCTATGGAGATGGCATATCTACGAAAAACACGTGTATTAGGAAACGATAATGCCACCTTTACATAGTGCTACCCTTAGGCCGTATACAGAAAGAAAGCCGAAAGCCGATCGGCGCCGATCGGCGCTTATCGGCGCCGATCCTTCCTACATAAAGGAAGCCGATTAAAGCAGATCAAGCAAAATGTCGGACTCATCGGACGATGATTTGGTTTTGTTAGAAAATGTTTATTTAAAAATGCGAAAAACAGCTATACATCCTATAAATAGAGAAAGGAAACGTTTCGGAGAATACCATAATTTATTTGTAAAAAAAAAAAATTTGATGAACAAAGATTTTATACATATACAAGAATGATTCAAGAAACATTTTATTACATTTTGGATTTAGTGAAAAACTGTTTGATGAAAAATTGGGGCAATTGGCATAAACAACCAATCCTTCCAGAAGAAAGACTTGTTGTCACCATTCGATAAGTACGAAACAAATAATTTTAGCGCTTAGTTAATAAAAGATAAAGTTATTAGATTTATAAAAAGATTATAACTTAGATTGATTTAATTTAAGGAAAATAATTCAAATACAAATTATTTATTATTCGGACCAGCGCGAGTCGGCGCTTATCGGCGCTTATCGGCGCCGATCGGCGCTGGTCCATAGAAAAAGGATCAGCGCCTATAGGCGCCGATAAGCGCCTATCGGCGCTGATCGGCGCCGATCAGCTTTCGGCGTTCTTTCTGTATACGGCCCAAGGCTGCCCTTGGGCTGCCCCATTGTATATCGATATCTTCATAAACACAAATAATTTAGTGACGATGTTTCGATTAGTGATTAGTGATTTTTGTCATTGAGATTGTTATCACACAATACATAATATGTTGTAAATGCAAAAGTATTCGTGTATTTATTACCTCTCCTGCTAAACGGCTGGAAGGTTTTGAATGAATACGTGCCTATTTTATTTACCACGCCACTTGAATACCTATGAATAAATTCCTCCTATAAACAAAATTCACGGAGGTTAAATCGTGGGCAAGAGCAGCTAGTTATGAATAAACCTGTTAAAAAATTAACACGACCGTCAATAAAATTCAATTAATATTCAATTCGACTTATTCAAAGATCTTTAAAGTTTTGAGGCTTCATGTTCATGTGTTGAACAAAAATAACACTTTATGAAATAAATGATCATCCTCAGTAATTGTCTAAGAGTATAATCCCGTCAGAGTTTTGTGGGGTTTTGTGAAATCGCACACAAATATATGTACGTACAGTCACGAGCACAGTAGACCTGCAACAGTTCGTAATACAGCCTCTGAACAGAAACACTATCGGCCTCTGTGTATTGACTAGTAAGGTATATGACCATATCGGTAATTTCTATAGGCATAAGGTAACATTCACTTATAACAGAATTTTGATTAATAACGACTAATAGATTACTTATTATTCTTATTTATAATAATTGAAATAAATAAATTTAAGAAACACTATGACAGAAGCAATAGTAACCAATTATATAAGAGAAAGACAAAGAAATACACTGAACATGCAAAGAAAAAGAAAGTGTGATGCTGGCAATTTGCGCAAGATGGCTGGCAGGAGCTGGATGCGAGTAGCCCAAGATCGATCTGAGTGGCGTGCATTTGGAGAGACCTATGTCCAGCAGTGGACTATGATAGGCTGTTGATGATGATGCTGGCAGCTCAATTGGCTGTTCGTGTTGTTAACTTGACAACAGTCTGTCCATAACATACTTTGGTAGTAAATGAAAAGGACAGACTACTGACAGGATAGGTAACAAATAGCAAAGTGAAGTGGCAGCATTATATTTAATCCTACTTAGTATGTTTTGCCTTTACTTAATACAAAAATAACAATAAATACTTTTGATATTATAAATATGAATACCTATAACTGTTACTTTATTACAAAAAATAAATATGTGGTTTTTGGTTCTACTACACCAATGGTCAAGAGATGGCGCTGTAGTCTCCTGAATCGCGCTTTGGTTCCGTTGTTCCAGATTAATAAATACTTTTGATAGGCCTTCACAATGCAGTCGTTAGCACCCACTAAATAGAGATTCTATTTCTATTTTGTTGGTAGATTTTCTTAATGTGCGGTAAACACAAAAGTAACGCATGAAGTGGGTCGCTAAAGCGACCAACTTCATGCTGTTAAAATTTTGTGTTACAGTGATGCGCGCGCATCTTAAAATTTCACTCTCATCATTTTTTCATAACGTGCCTAAAGAAGTATAACTTCAAAAAAAAACTAAGAGTTTTTGGCGGGATTTCATCGAGTGTGGTTGGCGTCTTATTTTAATTATTCTTAAATTCGTTCATAGTGGATATTGTGAAATAAATTTGGTGTGGTTTTGTGTAACAACTGTCTGCGTAACTGAAGAATTAGCGGAATCATTAAAATATACGCTATTCCGGTCAAGTGAACGTGAGAATTTTATTGTAGTGTTGACTATCTCACAGAAGCTTATCGAAAAAGCCAACTCGATACATTTCGTGCCAAACACTCCAAGAAACATTAGAATGCGTCACACCGACATTCTAATGTAAAAATAAAAAGAAGATAAATTTAATTAAAGACTAGGCTGTATGGGCATTCTCCCCTTTGCCTTTCCTAAAACGGGAGAACTTCAACAAAAAAAAAACTAAATGTCACTGAAAGTCAATATGGCGTTCAGCAGCTGTGTGTGTGTTGTGTTGTGTTTGAAATCTTAGTGTATCGTTATTCCAAGTAAATTATGATCTTAATTTAATAAATTTCACAACCAAAAGCCAATTTCCATAAAGGCTTCAACGTGAATGTCATCCGTGAAAAGAAATCGGTAGTGCGCCAGTTTTAATTAAAGGTAGTTGTTGATTAACCAATTTCCGCTTTGTTTTATTGATGTTTCTTACACAATTGTGTGTAAATACTTCCTTTCTACGTTTGAATGTCGATTAGTCTATCTTCATACCGTTATGGATGGTAGCTTTTATTTATGCAATGCCTTTATTTGGCATGTTAGAGCGACACCTAACCAATCTTGAGTAGGTACGAATACCATTGCATTCTTTTGTATTGACTCACGGTGTAACTGTTAATTATGTATAACTTACAACCATGCGTCGTTTATTAGTCTTGATTGATATAAAGATTGTATAGTTTGTATGCCATCTTTCTATTGTAATTTAAACTTTGGTTTTTTCTTGGTACATACCTAACTAATCAAGTCTGTGCCACAAATATTGCTGCAGTTTGGTAAAATAAATACAGATAACAAGAAAAAATAAAGAGTTATATTTAATATCACACTTTTTTATGTTTAGACAGGCAAACAAGCTGACAGTCTGATGTTTTTCTTTAAATAGTGGTAAACTTGAAGAATTTGTTTAATACAACCCATTATTTGTTTCTCTTTCCAGATTATTTTGAAGATTAACACTATGTCATACGGACACGATGAAGGTCCAGTGTATTACAGAGAGATACAGAAGAATGCGTACCTCAAACGGATACCGAATGAGACGTCCAGTAGCAAACTCATACCATTGGGGCATAAGGTACCTACTTTGGATAAATAAGTTGTAATGTAAAATAAATATTTTACATTACAACTTATTTATCCAACACCAATTAGCCTAGCCCCAAACTGAGCACTATAAGGCTTGTGTTATGGGATACTAGGGTAACGGATAGAATACATATATTGTACACATATAAGTATATTTATATAGAAATACATATTAAACATCCAAGATTGGAGTACAAATGCTCGTATTCATCACACAAACATCTGCCCCCACCGGGATTCGAACCTGGGACCTCTTGAGTTGGCGACACCGTGAAACCTGTCGTTCAAACCACTCGGGCCACGGAGGTCGTCAAATGTGTTTGTCCATTATATGTTATGTTACTGCTAAATCGTTATATAAAGCAAGCTAAATCATTAAATTAAAAAAAAATAAGCACATGGTGAAGTAAGTTGTGCATTATATTTTCACATTTTAACAATTAATCCATTTTTGATTGATTTAAGTTTAGCAAACTTGCAGATGTGTTTGTTAGTATTTTTCACTTATTTCAGAACTCAGAATATTGATACACAATACATTGGGAATATATTGCCCCAAAAATTTAATAATGTATATGTCTACTTTGAAATATTAAATTTTTGACAGTGGAAAACACACAATGATCTCCCATCAAAGTATAGACTGTAATTATATGTTAAATTAGTTTTTAAATCATGGAAATACATGCAATATTAGCGAAGTTAAGAATACAAAAAGTTTATTCCTTAATGTAAATTCCGAGATTTCGTGCTTCCTGACGTTTCAATTTTGACATAAAATGTATGTGTGTGAAATTAATGTCAACTTTTTGTTAAAGCTAATGATATTTATATGCGCCCATAACGTAGGTTTTGAACGCAGACCTGGGGCCGCGACACGACGAGTGTCGTCATCGCATATTCTCGGGCCGTCCGCATTTTTAATAATGGTGTCTAGTCCGGCAAGATTACCTTTAAACTAAACTTAAATTTGACAGTCAAATGAGAGACTGATCCTAAAGGAGATTGCTCAGCTTCCATATATGTTTGGCCTAAAGACCAATAATCATGAAAAATTGTTTCCTAGATTCGAAATTATATATAAATTACTGAAGAAACGAATATTATTGACGGACACCCCTGAGAACTTCTATAAACCTTATACACTGAACATATTAAAATAATAAAAAACCAATAAGTTATATAGTAAACTAGGGAAATCAAGCCAAGTACCGAAATTATTGATTAGATTCAGTTATATAGAGCATGTAGATTGACAGATAGTAGCCTGTTTTTAGAGTTAATGCATAAAAGTAACTTTTAAAATCAGGTGTCATTTCCGGTTATAATAAGGTACTCTGTGACAGAAACTATGTGATGATTGTGAATGAGCCACAGATTAGGGAGAATTTTTAAACTCTCGTTAACCAAAGAAACCTAAGAGATTTAGGTTCTATAGCCATATATTCAATAGGTTCATTATTTTTGTTATGTTTTTAAGATAACCATATTTAAGATTTTTAGTGTATCACACCTTATAATTTTATTTATTTATTAATTTATAGTCAGGGAACGTAGGCCCATAGATATCATACCTTAAAGTCTAACATATATACAGATTATAATGTGTTTATGGAGGTGTTTGGCGAAAAATGTATGGTAATAGACTTTATGATGTCGCCTACCATCTATAATAATTGTTTGAGTATATTTGCATCTAATGAAAATGATAATATAGTTGTGGATATTAATACCACAGTGTAATAAAAAAATAAAAAAAAAATCTCGATCTTTACAAAATAGATTTGTTTTTATGTTAAAATATAAACAACTTCGATCAGTCTTTGGCTGAATGTTACTACACCCATAGCTATTAAAAATGATTCGTATGTTTTCCAAACCGGTAAAATTAAAAGTCCTTTTTAAAGTAAATATATTATATATAGGTGTCCGTTGAAATCTAATGACTGTAAATTAAATTATAAATTACGCCAAGAATTACCGTGTATGTCAATATTTTTTGTGCATTTGGGCCAATTTGAACAATCTCCTTTAGTTTTTAGTTTAGAGAATTATGCCAGAATCGACACCAGTGTTGTGTGAAAATGCATACTTTAAATTTAATTTTCTCAGCCATTTTTAAAGATATAAAAAAGTAAAAATACCGTTATTCTTGTATTTTTTTGGAGATTACTCAGGCATTTAAAAAAAACCTTTGTTTAGTTCATGTGAAAATAGTCATTAAATTAACTTACCCTGCCTAGTACTCAGACACCCGGAAATGTGAACAATTTGCTAGTTATTATTTTGCTTCCGATGCAAATTAACAAATATGCTTCAACTCGACTCAACAAGATATTGTTGTTGATAAGCAATGACTGCATAACAGATACAGTATGCTGTGCGCCTAATCGAATAACACTACAAGCAAAATCAATATGTACTAGGCTCCATACTTGTGTAATAGATCATCTTGTTTAAGATACAATCAGAGGTAATTAGGTATTTGAAATTATTGACTTAGGTGATCAGAATGTGAAGTATGAGATGTCCCTCAATTTAACTGAAGTATTTATTATCGAGGTTGTGTTTCTATATCTTGTAAGATAAAGATAAATCATTGTATAAACAAAGATAAGTAGAGAAACACCTTTCATCGACCTGATTCAACACAAATAAAGTGTATACAATTTTAATATGCCATTTAATTAAAATTATTATCGATGACCTTAAATGTCATTTAATTTAAGTAGGCTGCTGCTGAAAATCAGTGTCGTGGCACATGTTGCCTTGACATATACTGAGCAGTGGCCTGTTTGGTACACAATCACCTATATGTGACACAATAAGTTATTTGTGTAATTTGTGTCAAATAAACGTTTTTATTATTATTATATAATTGTTGTCAAATTTAAGTTTAGGTTTAGAGAATCAGGGCAGAATCGACACCAGTGTCGGCCTAAAACTACATTGTTTTTCAGCCATCCTTGAACTAGACCTAGTCTGTATTGTTATCCTTTTCTTGATAACAAATGGCGAAAAAGTTAATAACATTCATGAAAAAACGTGCTGTTTGAGAAAAAAATAATTTAATAGTTCTACGAATGCAAAGTGTTGGCGTGTTTGTTATTTGATCTTGAACTATTTGTGTTCTTTATAAACGCATCGAAGGAATTTTTTTATCTTTATAACACAGAATATACGCAATATTGTTATATTGCCAGCACATGCACCGTGTTTAAATGTCCAATTGTGACTAAAGCGAATTGTGGTCATGCACCACAATTTAAGCGGATCGCTTTTGAACTGCGAGTGCCATATCTTCCCTTTTTGTTTTAATCTAAGACCAAATCTCTTTGCTTACAGAAACCAGCCCTCAAGCCCATGTGGACACAGTTCTGTGTACACAACGGCCGTGCCCCGTACTTAGAACAATATCCTTTAGCTGAGTGTCCGGCGACTCTAGCCCATAAGCCAGTATGGCGTGCTTGCTTAAAGACTGCGCGACATGTGACGGCCAGTGTGAAACCTCACTGGGGCAAGGAGTATGACTTCTTAGTGGATACGGATAAGGGGCCGGTGAGGATGCTGGCTCCCGATTGGTGAGTGCCAAGCTAAGAACATAGGACCATGAAGCTCAGAGATAAGAAGAACGATCGCTGTAGAAAATAGTGCCTTAGAGATATAGACAATATAAGTGAGGCGCTGCGATAGGCTTGTTGTAAATATATAGATGTATCGATATATCGATATTTTTTGTTCGTTATATCGATATTTTTTGCCGATATATTTTGATTCGATATTTCGATATATCGATACAAAATAACCAATATCGAAATTCGTATCAAAAACGATATTTTTTTGATTAGTAGCGGCATATCACGATTTAACTAAATTCGTATCTGGAAAAATCGTAACTGGATCTCAGATTAATGATATTCAACATATCTATGATCTGTGCTGTATTTAGTATTGTCTATGTCATCATTCGAAAATAGGGTCTATTTTAAGGGAGATAATTTTCGTTCCATTATTATTCCGCGTGTCATATTTCGTGAGCTACTGTACGATATTTTTGGGAAAATTGGTCCGATATATCGATGTTTTTTTCGCGATATATCGAAGCCGATATTGATATTTTTTAAAAGATCGATGTATCGATATTTTTTTCAACTTTCGACATCCCTACTCTGCGATCTCTAAGTTGTCTCAATAAAGGTGGGCTAATTTGAAATGACCAATGCCGCCAAGAAAATTTGTACAATATTCAACTAACTTCAGCTACTTGTACTCATAAACAGCTAACTTCACAGATACTACTTACCGACGGCAGCGCGGTTGGTGGCTGAAAAATGAACTATAAATTCTACAAATTTTCAGGGACAGGCGGGCTAATGCTTTAGTACCTGGGTTCCGAACCTGGGGGTAATTACCCCTCCGAGGGTAAATCAGCCTTACTTCGGGGGTAACAAAGATTTGGTCAAATCTAAATAATAAGAAAATACTATATAATAATACTACTAAATAGAGCATGCGCTCCTTATTGCTAGCGAGCCCGCGGGGTGCTGAGTGTGGGAAGCGGGGCGAGATTTTCTCCTGATGATGACATTGTTAGAGACGAAGATGTGTAGCGGCCAAATTGGAATTTCTTGAACTGATGATAACATCTTAAAGTCGGGGTAAAATCTGTTTTCCTAATAGGTTACAGGGGTAGCCGTATTCGAAAGGTTAGGAAACACTGCTTTAGTACGTAGCGATCGTTCTCCTTCTCTCTAACCTCACTTCAGTCGTGTGGTCATAAGCACGCCGCCTTATTCAAAGGGTTTTGGAGTTTACTCCTTAAGAATCGATTTGCATATATAAGGGGCCCGGTATGAGAAAAATGTGAGGAGTAAAATCTATCGATGAATGACCTCGTTACGTTTTTACTGTCTACGCTGTAGCAGCCGTAGTGCTACACCGTAGCACAGTATCGTAGCGTACCTTTATTGCCTACGACGACAAAGAAACCGCGTCGGTGTACCACCGCGCCACGGTAATAATATCATACAGTATTCTATCTTCATACAAACGGTCGGAAAGCGAGTCATACCTACGCCACTCGAGTTCGATGTGCTCTCGGCGGGCACCCAGTCGCGAATGCGCCACCGCGCCGCAACGATGACCGAACGGTCTGAATTGTTTTTTATGCAGTTAGCCGTGCTTAAACATGCGTTTTGTATTGTAAATATTTGATTTAATTAAGTAGATACCTACATAATTTAGTATGGAAAAGAACAAACGACGATCAATATCGTACAACAGCACAATTGCTGTTTTTGGTTGCTTGAACTCTTCAATAACACACCCAGAGATATCATTTTTTAAATTACCTGAAATATTGGAAAGGTGTCTTACCTTTATAGAATATTTTTTACATACCTATCTACTAGTACGTTATTTGTTTCTAATATTTAGGTAGTTCGGTTTTTCCATCGGGCAAAATATCTGGAATAATATATAAATAAGTGGTTAGGATGAAAAAAGAGACAAACGAGTAATCTACCTACACTCGCGTTAAAAACAAAACTACATAAAATACTGTAGGCTGGCGGCCCTACCGCGTGCCAACGCAGCGTTCGGTGTAGGCATTTATTTTCAAGGACAGGGCGGAGTTACAATACTGTATAGATAATATTACCGTGACCGCGCCATTCGTTGAACACAAAACCATTGAGCTTTACAAGTAAACGTCGATATGGCATTTACAGTATCAATCATTTTTAAGTTAAATAAACTCTTTTTGCGTCTGGTTAGCAAGGACCGATATGGGTACCCGTATAGGTGTTTTAATCGGTTTAATTTTAACGATTAGGTTAAAAACCTGACATAAAGGGTTAACCTGTATAATTGATTAATAACCTCTATATAAACCGGTTCTTACGTAGAGTCCTTTTTTGTTCAAAATTCATACATAGAAAGAGACACACGGCTAGCTAGCTGTGATTGGCCCTTCAGTGGTGTCAATTCTGGCGTGATTCTCTAAACTTAAAACTAAATTTAACATCAATCTCTCCTTTTCATTCCGTATAGAGAATGACAAGGATACACTGTTGTCAAATTTAAGTTTAGGTTTAGAGAATCGTGTCAGAATTGACACCAGTGAAGTGACGAGTTATAACTTGACATGACCTCGTCGTCATTACACCAAGCTAAATTGATTCTTTGGTGCTTTCTCTTAAAGTTTTTAATTACAATGCCACGGAATGGCGGAGCTCGTAGATGGAAAGTACTCTACACTAGTCTACATGTACAGTCTCTTTCATACGGGTTAATCAGCAATATTCTTAGGATTAATCCATATTACAATAAACAGTTTACTGCATACTGCAAGGATTAATCAATATACAGGGTTTTGGTCTTACCGGTTAACCTTTTAATCCGATTAATGGGTCCTTGCTGGTTAGACTATCGAATTTAAGGAGTAAACTCCAGTCGTGCGTCGGAGCTGACACACACAATTTTTTTTTTATTCGTGATTCGAACAGGGATACGATGCAAGACTGGGTGTCCACCCTGCGCAATAAACTCCATGAGCTACGCATCTTATCGTGCGGGGAGAACGTATACGCTCCTCCCCCGGCTCCCCCCGCGCCCCGCGCTGCAGCCCGCGACCCTACCAGCCCCTTACCCCCCACTCCGCCCGTGCCGCCCGATAGGTGAGTACTTTTTTTTATAGCGAATTAGCCAAATGACTACCCCCCCTTTTTTTCTGACGCAGGCAAAACTTTTATTTACAGACGTCGCCTATAAGAATTTTTAAATTTTAAATAATGTGGACAAAATGGAAAGCTGCAGATCACATTTTGCTGAACTAAAAATCCTAACTCTCACTTCACTCTATATTTTTGAAATTTGTAAGTTTGTAAAACTAAATCCCCCATTATTTCCCCAAAAACAGGACTGTTCTAGTACATCTATAAATTTGAGATACAAAGATAATTTAGCCTTACCCTCATCAAGTCTTAAAATCCATAGCTCAGGTCCACAAATAAACGCAATTAAAATTTATAACAAATTACCTAAATATATAACCGTAGAACAAAACGTTAAAAAGTTTGCACAAATTTTGTAACAGTATTTATTGAATAAAACCTTCTATAGTATGCAAGAGTTTTTTGTTGAAAGGTAGCTGGTACTTGTAATCTAAAATTTTATTGTGATTGATTATAATTATGTGTATTTTGCTTATTTTATGTAGATTGATATTGTAGTGCCCTTACAGGGTTCATGTTTGGATCCGACTCTAAATCTAGGAAATTGTAATTACCACATGAAACAATAAATATATTGAATTGAATTAAGAGGCACACCGACGAACGGACCCCACACCCAGCACTCGCAAACGTCACGGGCACGATGGGCTAACCCCTTATAGTAGGGGAGCCTAGGCGGGGATTTTTGAATTAACTCGAGCGCGGCAGAATAACATATGGGGAGCACCCTTGCACCTAGTTAAGTGAGAGTACTTACCATACCTGAGCCCTCTATGTAGGGCCGAACGTCTAGGGCAGCTAAAACAAAATTCCAACAAACGGCAATAACTTTTGTTCGGGTCCAAATCGTCAGTCTTTTGAATAGGAGCTACCGGAGAGTTCACGTAACATCCCTTCTCAATGTCTGACGGGCTCGGTAATTTTTTCCTATATTCTACCCCTTCGTACGGCCACCCCCATATCATGCAAACCGCGGCAGATCAATATTTTTTCCGTCCTTGGAAACGTTACATGAACCCTCTAGTAGCTTATATTCAAAAGACTGACGATTTGGGCGCTACCAAAAGTCATGACCGTTCGTTGAAATTTTGTTTTTGCTGCCCTAGACGTTCGGCCCTACTTAGATGACTCAGGTATGGTGGGAGTACTGAACTAGGTGCAAGGTTGCTCCCCATATGTTATTCTGCCGCGCTCGAGTAAATCCAAAAATCCCCGCTTGAGCTCCCAAAGTAACTGGCGCCATTTACGAGCACGCTTAAAGGTGTACTATCCGCTTAAAATGCGAATACCTTCTACGCTACTTGATGCGAAGCCGCGGGGTCCCCATTAAGGGATTCTCCGCCTCCAACCCTACCCCACCTGATGTTAAGTGGTGATATAGTCCAAACGCGAAGATAGCTGGTACAGCAGTTAAAACTGCCACACCAACCATCCTCACCTTGCCGGCCTGCATGTTGCTTCTTCGCGCCTCTTTTAAAGGATCCCAGGTTTTCGGCAGTCACAAGTGCTTGTAACAGCCTAGACAGAGTAAACGATTTTTTTTTTAAATTTTGAATTGCCATCTTGTAGATAAACTAATAAAGTCAAGTTTGTGATAAAATGTTTTGGATGTATATTATTTAATAAATGTACTGAGGAGCTCGATGGCGCGGGTGGTTAACGCGTTCGGCTGCTATAGTTGAAGTTAAGCAACTTTCGCAGTGGTCGGTCATTGGATGGGTGACCGAAAATCTTCTATCTCGAGCTCGTCCGTGCTTCGGAAGGCACGTTAATCCGGTGGTCCCGGCTGCATCAGCAGTCGTTAGCACCTGCCAATCGTGCAGGCCCGGGTCATGGCCTAATCTCCTTATTCCATCCATTGGGAAGGCCTGTGCTCCAGCAGTGGGGACATTAATAGGCTGATGATGATAATAAATGTACATTCAATTTAATATCAAATTTTATACTTTGCAGAGTACCAGGCATAGAGTTGACAACACCCCCGTCACTAACTCGACAGGAACCGGAAAACGCACCGGAAACCACCTCAGCACCGATTCAGCAACCGGAACAACCGGTACAACGACCGGATTTACCAGTCACACGACCAGAACTACCGGTATTAAGACCGGAACTACCGGTCCAAGAGGAAATAGACATATCGAACTGGGAAGACGCAACTCCAAGCACAAGTCAAGATACCACTAAAGAAATACGCAGTAAAAGTATAGATAGTTCTAGAAGAGTTACCAAAATATGCGGTCAAAATATATGTCTCGACGATTCTATCTTGAAAAGGAACGTTGAATCGACAGAAAGTGATGAAGAGTTCTTCAATGAGATAGATCGGATAAGTGATGATGTGGAAAATATAGATTTTGATTACAAGCAGACTTTGGTTGTCACCGATACTGGTTCTTCGAATGTCGATATCAGAGAAGAGACTAGGTGAGTAATTTATTAATCACTAGCGGCCCGCCCTCGCTTCGCTTCGCTAGCTGAAGTGTAGACTACAGTTTTTACTACAGTTCTCAGACTTGTATTATACACAATGACATTCATCTATGATTCTTCTTATACCTGCGTGCAAAGTCTCAGCCCGATCGGTTTAAAATTGACAAAGTTTCATACAAACTTTCATTCCCTATTTTTATTCCCTTGGGGGTAGAATTGATCAAAATCCTTTCTTAGCGGATGCCTACGTCATAACATCTACCTGCATGCCAAATTTCAGCCCGATCCGTCCAGTGGTTTGGGCTGTGCGTTGATAGATCACTATGTCAGTCAGTCAGTCACCTTTGAGTTTTATATATATAGATTATAGCTATTAACGGGATTGTTATCATGTACATTGTAACTAAGGGTTCCGTACCTCAAAAGGAAAAAACGGAACACTATATCACTTTGTTGTCCGTCCGTCCGTCTGTCAAGAAGATTTTCTCAGGAACGCGTGGAGATATCAAACTGAAATTCATATCTAATACTCAGGTCCACTGTCCCTTGGAGCTGTGAGAAAATCAAACTTCTAAGCCAAAGCAATCAAAAGATACAGCCGTTTATAACGCAAATTTTCGAAACTCGCACGGGAATCAAAACCTACAGGGTACTTCCCGTGAACTTAGAATCTTGAAATTTGGTACGAAGTAACGTCTTATAGTACAGATATAGGAAAAATTGCGAAAACCGTAAATTTTTAGTTACATCATATTATAAAAATCATTTTTGAAAATTTTAAAGTTACTACCTCTTTTTTCATGAACGCGTAGAGGTTTTAAATTGAGTTTGTACGGAACCCTCGGTGCGCGAGTCGGATTCGCACTTAGCCGGTTTTTTTATGAGTCTCCGATATTCCGGCACTGTTGCAAGCGCCATGATCGCGGAGTAACTGAAGTAATGAGAGCTATCGCGTATGAATCCGCCGCTAGAGGCGCTAGTGTAGAGTGAGGTCTCCGAAATGTCAAATGTTATTGCTTGTTGGTTGACTACGCGGGTTTATTTCTAATTAAAATAATGTTGTGAATAATTGGTAACAATTCGGCTTAATTATGGCAAATATGAGTTATGTGGCAATGAATGTCAGTTATTAAAAATTTGAGCTTAGAAAAATGATTATGTTCCCATTTTTTCCGAATAAAACGGAACTGCGCGTCACTGTGGCATGGCCTATTATGTTTAGGATATGGTTCTTTTGTGTTAAAATACGATCTAAATGTAACCTTTGATTTCATGTGCGTATTAATAAACTTTAAAAGTTACAATTTAGGACCTCACTCAACAGTGGCGCCATCTGGTGAGGCAGAAAACTCATTGGTGTGTGTTGGAAAAAACACCCACGTTGGAAATATTTATTTATTTATTATTATGAATTTTATATCAGAAGCGTAAAGCCTAAAATCATTTGAATAGATATTTTTTGGTAACTGGACCTGTGGTTGGATTAATGTTAATCGTTCATTTACCAGTTTTTTTTACCTTTTCAGCGACTCCCAACCTAACAACGTGAACGTGAACGTGACCGTGATTCAAGTGTCAAACAAAGGCCCTCCCCATACAGCCATACCAGTATTAGGCTCTGAAACTGACATATTCGACTTCAGCTTCGCAAATTCCGATTCTGGTTTCGTGAACATAGTCAATACTGAAGTGGACGTGACCACAGACAATGGATACGGAACTGTCTTCACCAAAGACTCGGACTACGGCCATTTGAGTCTGACAACGACTGTCAACGTGACGGCGGACGTCACCGCGACAGCTGTCAAAGTGACAGATGTCAAAGCGACCGACAATGGAGTGTACGAACGCTTGTGTTTGGCTTCGACTTCGAACGAAACGCCTGTGAATAGAATAAAAAATGCAGACAGACCGAGGAAATCATCTTTGCCCAATTTGGATAGTGCGGAGTCTTCTACGTATGAGTGTTTGTTCCCAAACGATAGTGTTAGTGCAGTGACAGTGAATAGTGATAGGCGAAACGAGTGTGTTAGTAACAATAGTGGTGATAGGAATCGCAGTGTTACAACGGTGAATGCGAATTTGAACTCTAATGCAAGAGTTTTAAGGTGCAATGTGGAGAGATCTCATAGTCAGAACGCTTACGACACATCGCCTAGAATGAGAGAGCATCTGTATAGAAGAGTGCAGAATAGCTGTCCGAAGAGAGAAGGTAGAAATGGTGAGTTTTATTTTGTACAGAACCCATCTAGTAACTGTAAACTGAGGTGCTGTCGAACAAAACGGTATAATGACGCATCTGGTCAAACTACATGTATATATATATATATAAAACTCAAAGGTGACTGACTGACTGACATAGCAATCTATCAACGCACAGCTCAAACCACTGGACGGATCGGGCTGAAATTTGGCATGCAGGTAGATTATAATTTTTATTATTTTTAAAGCATGTAACTGCTTTATGTTTAAATCTAAAGAAAATATAACTAGAAAAAATTCCACGCGGACCAGGCAGCAGACGGGACTCGAACCCGCACCCTTCGCAATCCGGGCGAATGCACTGACCAATTATGCTACCGCAGCCCTCATGGACCGCGTCGAAATTCTTTCTAGCTATTCTTAAGCTGCAGGGCAGCGCCATCTCTTCGCATTATAGGTAAACCCACAATGTCAAATGAATACTTTTACAAGTATTAAACATTTGAAAGAAGAAATAGCAATTATAGTTATAATTTTTATTATTTTTAAAGCATGTAACTGCTTGATGTTTAAATCTAAAGAAAATATAACTAGAAAAATTCCACGCGGACCAGGCAGCAGACGGGACTCGAACCCGCACCCTTCGCAATCCGGGCGAATGCACTGACCAATTATGCTACCGCGGCCCTCATGGACCGCGTCGAAATTCTTTCTAGCTATTCTTAAGCTGCAGGGCAGCGCCATCTCTTCGCATTATAGGTAAACCCACAATCGTCAAGTCCATGAGGGCCGCGGTAGCATAATTGGTCAGTGCATTCGCCCGGATTGCGAAGGGTGCGGGTTCGAGTCCCGTCTGCTGCCTGGTCCGCGTGGAATTTTTTCTAGTTATATTTTATGCAGGTAGATGTTATGACGTAGGCATCCGCTAAGTAAGGATTTTGATCAATTCTACCCCCAAGGGGATAAAATAGGGAATGAAAGTTTGTATGTAACTTTGTCAATTTTAAACCGATCGGGCTGAGACTTTGCATGCAGGTATAAGAAGAATCATAGATGAATGTCATTGTGTATAATACAAGCCTGAGAACAAAAACTGTAGTCTACACTTCAGCTCTACACCGAAGCGAAGCGAGGGCGGGCCGCTAGTATTTTATATCAGTGCCGAGTAGTATTGCCACGTTACGGAATCGAAACGGAGGCAGACGGCGCGGGCGGCGAGGCGCAGCTAACTTTACTCGGCCAACGACCAGTCTCGGCGGCGCGCGACGTGGCACTGCGTAGATTTGTCTTGCCAAGATTGGTTAGCGGCCGTGTAAATGACGTTTTTTTTTTCTAAATGGCTTCCACGGATTGTGCATTTAGCCAATGTCAAGTGTTAAATGTAGGTATAAAAATACTATAGCACTCGTAGTCAAAGTAATAAGTCAAGTCAATCCCCCTTTCCCCATGTTTCAGTAAAAGTGTGGGGATTTATTGGAACCTCCCCGAAGACTTCTTGAGGGAATGTCGAAAGACACTTTCCGCTATTTTGTTTCACTTGCCAACACTTGTGCATGTTCCCGAACACTTAGTGGTTAATAATCCACCATTATTAGACACTAACATCCGCCACAACACAATTTTTAACAAGAAAAACAAAACTGCTAAAGTGACGCTCCCCGATCCCGCCAAAAAGTCCGTGTAAATGACTTTTGTCTGTGTGCGTGCGTCGATTCGGGCGCTAGTATGAAGTAAAAGTACTGCTCTTGTATGTATTGTGCTGTGGTGGCTATGTCATTCACTTTTATACAGCTCCTGTAAAATTAAATTTTATGTAATGAGGGCTACCGTTTTTTGTCTCACCAGATGGCGCCACTGTTGAGTGAGGTCCTGAATTGTAACTTTTAATGTTTATTAATACGCGCGTGAAATCAAAGTATACATTTAAATCATATTTTAATACAAAAGAACCGTATTCTAAACATAATTGGCCATACCAGTGTTGCGCAGCTCCGTTTTGTACGGCAAAAAGGAGGACATAATTATTTTTCTTAGCTCCGCTTTTAAATAACTGACATTCAATGCCACGTAACTCATATTTGCTATAATTAAGCCGAGTTATTACTAAATATTCACAACATTATTTTAATTAGAAATAAACCCGCGTAGTCAACCCACAACCAATAACATTTGACATTTCGGAGACCTCACGCTACACAAGCGCCTCTAGCGGCGGATTCATAAGCGATAGCCCTCATTATACCATTTTGTTTGCCAGCTCCTCAACTATTAATTTGCCAACTGACTTTGAGCTTTATTTCGTTCATTATAAGATCCACGATGTATCGAGGTGTTTGGTTAACATTACTAATATGCTATATGTTAAGTTTTATATATTATTTTGTGGAGCTCGATAGCGCGTTTCGGCTGCGATCGTTTTAGTTAAGCAACTTTGGCAGTGGTCGGGCATTGGATTAGTGACCAAAAATTTACTATCTCCAGCTCCTCCGTGCTTTGGAAGGCATGTTAAGCCTTTGGTCCCGGCTGCATCTGCAGTCGTCAGCACCCGCCAATCCGCACTGGGCCCGCGTGGTAGGTCACGGCCTAATCTCCCTATTCCATCCATAGGGAAGACCTGTGCCCCAGCAATGGGGACATTAATAGGCTGATGATGATATTTTTTTTTAGCATGTAATAATTTTGAGAAGTAACTTAGAGTGCCTTACAAAGCAGTAAGTTAGCACATTCAATCTGCGATCGTTGAAATTAAGCAACCATCGCTATTGCGGATCGTAGGATGGGTGACCATTTATATTCTCCGTCATTTGCTCCTCCATGCTTTGGATTGTACTTTAATTCTAGTCCAGGGGGTCGGTGTCCTAACCGGATTGATATTGATTTAATATAGTTATTTCTGAACCCGCGAAGATTTTAGAATACCCCACGCTCATTGTCTTTAATATTTTTATTATGAATGCAAAATAAAAACAAATTAAAATCCTTCATTGGTCATATAAAATGAAATCGTAAACTATACCCATACCAATCTCGTTATGCGATTGGCCCCTAAGCTGCATCTGCAGTCAATAGCAGACACCAGTCCATACCGGGCACGCATGGTGATTCGTTTGAGTTAATTTTTGGTCACCCATCGTTGGCTATAATGAAATGAAAAAACATTTATTCGGAACAGACGCGGATACTACTACAAATGGTTAAATTTATAAACACACATATACACATATATACACATACACATTTATATACACTAAATGACGGACATTAAAAAGACATACATTACATATATCCACAGCTGGACCGAAAAGGATCCAGTTCAACATGTGTCAGTTTGCACTGACGCTGGTTTTCAACTGGTTCCCTTTCTGATTTGTGGATGCCAGACACTATGATACAAGATTAAAGGATTTTATATTAAATAAAAATGGAATATTACAAATTGTACCAGTGAACAAAAAAAAAGTTAAGTGAGTAACATATTCAGTAATCACACTAATATTATAAAGGCGAAAGTTTGTGAGTATGTGAGTGTGTATGTTTGTTACTTCTTCACGTCTAAACGGCTGGAGCGATTTTTATAAAATTTGGTATGGAGTTAGCTGACACCCTAGATTAACACATAGGCTACTTTTATCCCGAAAAAATGTTAGGTTCCATAGGGATTTTTAAGAAACTAAGTTAACGCAGACGAAGTCGCGGGCGACCTCTAGTCTCATATAAACAGTAAATAACACAACAACACATTTTCAAGGTAAACAAACCATGAAACACTGACATAAATGACTTATTTTGCAGACTGGACCCAATTAAAAACTCATCACACCCACAAAACGCCACATTTGAGAACATCGGCAAATAGCACTTATATTTTATTTTTAAATTGCTTACAACTGTGTTGTGTATAAGAAGTAGGATGAGTGTCAATAATGATAATTGCTTCACTCTCACAATCGCTAAACCACGGTAATAATATCATACAGTATTCTATCTTCATACAAACGGTCGGAAAGCGAGTCATACCTACGCCACTCGAGTTCGATGTGCTCGCGGCGGGCACCCAGTCGCGAATGCGCCGCCGCGCCGCAACGATGACCGAACGGTCTGAATTGTTTTTTATGCAGTTAGCCGTGCTTAAACATGCGTTTTTTATTGTAAATATTTGATTTAATTAAGTAGATACCTATATAATTTAGTATGGAAAAGAACAAACAACGATCAATATCGTACAACAGCACAATTGCTGTTTTTGGTTGCTTGAACTCTTCAATAACACACCCAGAGATATCATTTTTTTAAATTACCTGAAATATTGGAAAGGTGTTTTACCTTTATAGAATATTTTTTATATACCTATCTACTAGTACGTTATTTGTTTCTAATATTTAGGTATTTCGGTTTTTCCATCGGGCAAAATATCTGGAATAATATATAAATAAGTGGTTAGGATGAAAAAAGAGACAAACGAGTAATCTACCTACACTCGCGGCCCTACCGCGTGCCAACGCAGCGTTCGGTGTAGGCATTTATTTTCAAGGACAGGGCGGAGTCACAATACTGTATAGATAATATTACCGTGGCTAAACTGTATCCATTCGATGGATCTCTAATTTGGTCTGAGAAATTTTTAATAACAAGACTCGGCTAATTACCACAGCCCCCTTCCAAAAGGTAGTGTTATTCCACTAAGGTTTTTTTACGACCTCCGTGGCCGAGTGGTTTGTACGCCGGGGTTCAAGGTCGCCTACTCGAGAGGTTCCTGGTTCGAACCCCGGTGGGGGCCAGGTGTTGTGTGACGAATACGAGCATTTTAATACCAGAGTCATGCATGTTTAATGTATATTTCTACATAAATATACTTATATATGTATCAGTATATGTATTCTATCCGTTACCCTAGTATCCTATATCACAAGCCTACAGTGCTTACTTTGGGGCTAGACTAATTGGTGTGAGTTTTGGAAATATTTATTTATTTACTGTGGTCCCCAGATAAAACTGAGTCTACACAAGCGAAACCCATCTGGAAGAGGGGTTTGACTGAATTGTCTTTGCTGAATCGTCTGCGAGGCATCGGCCAAGGCAAGAGGCACGAAAGCCCTCCGAGGCAAGAAACAGAATCCAACGAAAGGTATGTTTATATGTATCTAAAGATTTTATTTAAGAAAATTTTAACATTCCGCGCGGCCAGTCAGCAGACGGGACTCGAACCCGCACCCTCCGCTATCCGGGCCAATTATGCTACCGCGGCCTTAAGGGCCGTGTCAAATTTTATTCTAGTATTTCTTAGACTGCAAGGCAGCGCCATCTCTTCGCATTGTAGGAAACCCACAATAAACAACTAGCACTTTTATTGCTTAAAAAAATATAACTATAATTGCTATTGCTTCTTTCAAATGTTTAATACTTGTAAAGGTATTCATTTGAAATTGTTAAATACTTTTAAAGGTATTCGTTTGACATTCTTTAATACTTGTAAAGGTATTCGTTTGACATTCTTTAATACTTGTAAAGGCATTCGATTGAAATTGTTTAATACTTTTAAAGGTATTCGTTTGACATTGTTTAATACTTGTAAAGGTCTTTCGTTTGACATTGTTTAATACTTGTAAAGGTATTCTTTTGACGTTGGAGAAAGGGAGATTATTGATTTGAATAGTAACTTTTGATGAGTCGTTTAGAAGTTTCGTTTTATCAGAGTTCATCTTTAGTCCCGAATGTTAGGCTCTCTCTGGATAACTCCTGTATCTTACTCTCCAGGAGCTTCTGGCTTCTTCCCCGAAGATCATAATATCGTCTGCGAACCTCAGATGACTTAGGCCCGTATTACAGAATGACAACTAAGTGTTGATCTTTACTTGAGTACAGTTAGAAAGGGATGTCGCTATGTGCTATATACAGGATGTTTCTTCTAGGGTGTCAAGCGAGTGCGAGCTGATAGCGGAGTACCATACCTATCAATTTAACCCCCATGTATGTTCTACGATTTTGCGTAGTTTTCGAGTTAGATTTTTTTTTCGTTATTTTTTAAGTTCAACGATAAGACAACTTTAAAAAAGTATAACTTCTTTTTGGGTCGATTTTTCTTCGATATTTTTTTTTTGACATAATGCTATTGCTTGTAGTTTTATAAGTAAAATAATCTCCTTCCTAACTTTAACCTAAGATATAAAAAAAAAATATCGATACTAAATAAAAATGAATCAAGTAATACAGAATGGATTTTCAATTGAAATAAAAAAAATGAAAATAGATGTTCCATAACTTCTGACTAATTTTAAAAGCTGTCCGGCTACATAAGTTTTAATTAAAATACAAAAAAAGATGTACTAAATGGGGCATTATTTGCTGAAATCTGTTGTTCAAGGTGTTGTACCGGTAATCGAGTAATTTTAATATTTTATAATTTCGTAGTATCTTTGCATATTTTGTCAATCTTAAGTTTTATTATCACTTTAAGTTTAAGTGGAGCTCATTCGAAAATAAAAATAATCATTTTATACTTATAATTTTTATTATTTTAAAGCATGTAACTGCTTGATTTTTAAATCTAAAGAAAATATAACTAGAAAAAATTCCACGCGGACCAGACAGCAGACTGGACTTGAACCCGCACCCTTTGCAATCCGGGCGAACGCACTGACCAATTATGCTACCGCGGCCCTCACGGACCGCGTCGAAATTCTTCTAGCCATTCTTAAGCTGCCAGGCAGCGCCATCTCTTCGCATTATAGGTAACCCACAATATCAAATGAATACTTTTACAAGTATTAATATCAATAATCATTTTATGGTAAATAATCACTGGAAATTTCCTCCTCTTCAGGTATTTTTATTTAACGCTTAAATAAGGAAGTGTCTACGCGTACGTTGAGGACTCGCGATTGAGCTTGATATTAAGGTTGTTTATATGATACGGATGTATTCTTTCGATTCATAAATCTGTGTACACAATCCCATATGTGGTGCTAGTTGACGGAAACCAAATCTTTTATGAATAAATTATTATACTACGATACCTGGCGATCTACCTCAAAATTTTTAGACTACTTACGATCGACTCTGAGAGGCTGCAAGTATGTGTGATGCTGGGTTGTCGGACATACACGATACACTCCACCTACCTACCTATCTAGGTAGGGTGTACCGTAGCATGTATATAGATATTCGTAGGTCGATCGCGATCGACCGTTAGAGCACCCCTGCTAGACTGACATTCACTTGATATCGATGCGCGCATCGGATGCGATTTATCTGATAAACGTGCATCGATTTTACAAATATCTAAAAACGCCAATGTGTATGATCTTTTATCGTAATAAGTATAATATGTGTATTACCTTAGGAGCTCGATGGCGCAAGTGGTTAGCGCGTTCGGCTGCGATCGTTGAAGTTAAGCAACTTTCGCAGTGGTCGGTCATTGGATGGGTGACCAAAAATTTACTATCTCGAGTTCCTCCGTGCTTCGGAAGGCACGTTAAGCCGTTGGTCCCGGCTGCATCTGCAGTTGTTAGCACCCGCCAATCCGCACTGGGCCAGCGTGGTGGGTCATGGCCCAATCTCCCTATTCCATCCATAGGGAAGGCCTGTGCCCCAACAGTGGGGACATTAATAGGCTGATGATGATGATGTGTATTACCTTGGTATGCCTCGACAAGCTTTTTGTTTCTACTGGATACTTATTTGTGTAGTGTACAACATATTTTTCTTTTAGTATAGAAGAAGAATAATAAGAATATATATAACAAAACAATCCTAGTATTATTTTGTGGATAATTTTGTTGGTTGTACAATAAGTATAACATAATTGTAAGCCTTCACTTAACATATATTGTACAACTGTTTGTAATAAAATAAAATAAAAATAAATAAAAACCCCAACTCTACTTCTTCCGTCTATCTTTACCCGATATGGGGCCCTTAAGAAATATTTTATTTTTATCTTGTTGCAGAGTACTGAATTCTTCTATCAAAGTCAACAATCGGTCTAGAGCGGAAGCTATCACAGACAACAATAACTCTAGACGGCGGAGCTCTAGTCTAACCAACGGTGAGCTTGTGATCATTAATACCTAGGTTAAGTTTATTTTCTTATATATCACTACATAGTATAAAGCAAAGTCGCTTCCCGCTGTCTGTCCCTATGTATGCTTAGATCTTTAAAACTACGCAACGGATTTTGATGCGTTTTTTTTTTAATAGATAGAGTGATTCCAGAGGAAGGTTTATATGTATAATACATGCATAATATATTAGAAAAACACTGACAATTTAAGAGCTTATTGGTGTAAGGTCGTAAATAAACAATTTTTTTTGCGCTTACATTGCAAATGCTGGCTGAACCCTACGAGATAGATCAAAATAATGTACTACAGTATTGTACACCTTAAAAAGGTCTACAAAAAAGTCCGCGATGGTAAACGTCTATCTCTTAGGGATAACCCACAATAACCATTTTTTATCCTATACTTTTTACGAGAAATATTAGATTATTTACGAAGCGATTTTCAGCAATATAACATTCATCCTTATCCAATTAAGTACCTTTAATACATTGTACATTTAATATAGATCAATTTGTCTCTTTAAAGCGTGTAATTTAAATTAATATTTTCGAAGATTTTGTAATAACAGATTTAAAATGCAGTGATGAGAATGTCATTGTGTATAATACAACACTGAGAACAAAAACTATAGTCTACACTACAGCTCTACACCGAAACGAAGCGAGGGCGGGCCACTAGTAATAGGGTATTTGACAGTATTAAAAATAAAGTGCCAATTGTTAGCGTCTGTGTTTAGAATGAATATTGGCAGGGGTTTTTACTATTTTTCCAGAAAAATATTCATAATTTTTCTAAAAACCCACGAAAAAGATAATAGTTTTTATATCTATTGTCACGTGACCCAAAACGCTTGGGATTGGCGGAGCCTTAAATGACGTCACACGCAAGTAAACTTCCGGTTAGAGTGACATTGCATTGTATCGTTTGACGTTTTAATAACAGTCGTGTGACGTCACACACTAGTAAGACGCCATATTGTCCAGAGAAACGTTATCGCGCCAACTTAAAAATTAAGTTTTTGATTTGGTTATTTTTACTGAAATACACAACCGAATGATGAATATCCACTTTTTACGGACTCCATAAATATTAGTCAATAACGTGAGATCGTTTTCTAAAACTTGTCAAATACCCTATTGTATAATGCGATTCAAATAAGAATAGGAAAGCCAATGACCTCCATCTGTCAAACGTCGCTTGAAAAGTACGGCTTGCAAAAAAATCTTGGAACCCTTTTTTAGCACTCAGCTAATTATGGAATAAAAACCAAACATTTGTAAACAAACAATAACAAATATTGTTGATTAGTATTGGTTGATATTTTATTTTCATTTATTGAGCTTTGGCTATGAATGTTTGATAACCTAAATCGTCAACCAAATGTCACTTTAAGTTGCGTTCAGAAACTCGATTTAAAACTTTGGTTTACATATAGGATGCATGTTCGTATGTGACCTAGTAATAGTGCATGATTATTCATAACTACTCCGGCGGTAATGCAGTGATGAGCGGAATTGAAGAGCTTAATTCTGATTAATGTTTTTTCTCGCACAGTGTTAGTAAATAAATATTATTAAAAATCGGTTATTTTCTTTTCTCAATTTTAGTAAATAAATTTTATAAAAAAATCGGATGTTTTTTCTCACTCAATCTTAGTAAATAACTTTTATTAAATATAAAAAACTTTTTTGCTCACTCTACCTTTTTCGTTTGAATTGACAACTATGACGTCACAATATGGCGCCCCGTCGATCCTATTCTTAGTTGAATCGCAATATAATAAATCTGCTTGAGCTGCTGAGGAGCTCGATGGCGCAAGTGGTTAGTGCGTTCGGCTGCGATCGTTGAACTTAAGCAACTTTCGCAGTGGCCGGTCATTGGATGGGTGACCAAAAATTACTATCTCGAGCTCCTCCGTGCTTCGGAAGGCACGTTCAGCCGTTGGTCCCGGCTGCATCTGCAGTCGTTAGCACCCACCAATCCGCACCGGGCCCGCGTGGTGGGTCATGGCCCAATCTCCCTATTCCATCCATAGGGAAGGCCTGTGCCCCAGCAGTGGGGACAGTAATAGGCTGATGATGATAATAAATCTGCTTACATAATACTTGAACGGCAAATAAGGCTCAAAATGTCCTCCCTCCCAGGTCGCGCAGGCCCCGGGGGAGGCCTCATCCCCCTGCGTCGTCGGCAAGCACTCGCCCTAGAAGCTGACCAACAGAGGCGAGCTGCTATCCCCACCACGGCCCCTAAGCACCGCCCTCCCCTATTAGCTGAATACGATAACCATATATGGTGAGTGTTTTTAAACTACAGTGTAAACTCTTATGTAACGTCACTCGATTTAACGACAAACTCAATAAAACGTCGAAACCCAAACTTAGGGGTTTTGCCCCCAGATTTAGGGGCTAGAAGGGTTAAAACGGACTTTTTAGGGGCTGGAATTTTTTGGGGGTTTTTTAGGGTCTTTTAACAAAACTTGCAATTAAATCGAAAAATAAAGCGAGTGTTTTCTTTCAGTTTTGTGTGTAGAATGGAACGCACCACGATATGAAACGACTGATCTAACTGTGTGGCAGGTTGTTTCTTAAGGCTGTATGGACTAAAGTTCTTTGCCTTCCACCAATCAAAACAGCTAAATAAGATTTAACAGCCTGTCAGCTTATTTTCTTTTGATTTTCCATTCGCAAAATGTATTTATTCAATAAAATAATTTACTATAACTAAATATGTAACGTTTTAATTTATGAGCAACCAAAAAATTTAGGTAATAAGATAAGTAGGTACATATAAATTTCAATATTTAGGGGATTTTAAAAAATACTTAGGGTAAAATTTTGGTAAGGGTTGGTAACACTGCGTCGAAATCACTCGTCTTTGGTTGGTTTAGTTTGTTTTCCATACAATGATACACTCCACATAGCATTACACCCACTCTCAATAACGACAACAATTAAGTAATAAAAAGTACCTTTCAAGTTGCCAAAATTAGTGAAAATCGCGCACCTGTGTACGTTCTTTTGTCGCTTTATTATCCTAGCCCGTAATAAACTCGACTGCCGGCATCATGAAAACCAAACTTTCTAAGAAATTCTTTCTTTTGTTTACAAATTGGGATTGCGCGTGTAGACTGTTGTTGACCATGACTAAAAAAAATATAAGGGGGCGTCCATAAATTACGTGAGATGTTTAAGGGGGGGAGGGGGTCGAGTCAAATCTCATCTAATCTTACGTTGGAGAGGGGGAGGGTCGAGTCAAATATCACGCAATTTTTTTTCTGATTGAAACAAAAAAAAACTATTTTGGTCCATTTAATCCAGATTGTACATGCTTAAAATTTAATCTTAAGCGTATTTATCGTAATACGATTAAGATCATTACTATTTCGTTCGAAAGAAATAACTCTCAGAAATATTGATTACTAGTCTTAACTAGTCGTAAATAAAAGCACGAAGCATTTTTTCTTTTTCTTTTAACAATAACAATCCAACGCATTTGAGTAAGAAACCCACATTTTGAAAAATCTCACGTGAGATTGGGGGATGGGGGAGGTTGAAAAAAATCTCACGACATCTCACCAGGGGGGGAGGGAGGGACAGAAAATTAAAAAAAAAAATGGGTGCGTGTACTTATGTAGGCGCGTGAGAAGTTATCCTTCTTTGGCATCGTTTAAAATTAGTTTTTAATTGCATGCAAATAATTAATTACAATAAATTAATAAAAAGTCTGGAAAAGGACGAAATCAATAAAGTTCAGTTTTAATTTGAAAAAATAAATAAATAATCAAAATATTCAATTAAAATCGCTACTGAATATAATTTATTAGAACATATGTGATTTGCACTTGTATGAAACTCAAACACGTATTCCGAATATACAAACTAGAAACATGTGGATAAATATTATAAATATGAATACCTATAACTGTTACTTTATTACAAAAAATAAAGATGTGGTTTTTTTTTCTACTACACCAATGGTCAAGAGATGGCGCTGTAGGCTCCTGAATCGCGCTTTGGTTCCGTTGTTCCAGATTAATAAATACTTTTGATAGGCCTTCACAATGCAGTCGTTAGCACCCACTAAATAGAGATTCTATTTCTACTTTGTTGGTAGATTTTCTTAATGTGCGGTAAACACAGAAGTAACGCATGAAGTTGGACGCTAAAGCATAATGAAGTTGGTCGCTAAAGCGACCAACTTCATTATGTTAAAATTTTGTGTTACAGTGATGCGCGCGCATCTTAAAATTTCACTCTCATCATTTTTTCATAACGCGCCTAAAGAAGTATAACTTCAAAAAACACCTCACGTAATTTATGGACGCCCCCTAATACAACTAAATTACTGGTGCAGCAAAAGACGTCAGACAAAAATAACAGAATATACGCAATAGCGTTCAAATAAGATTATTTTTTTATGTACATAACTACTAGCTTTAAATGAACCTTTTCTTTTCATAATTCTGATTTTTCTTCTTTCCATTTAACGACAACTCTCTATAACGCCATAAAATGTACAGTCCCTTTAGTGTCGTTATATAGAGTTTACACTGTATTATTATTGTAAATAACATTTGTGTAATGAATAACAGGATAGCGTGGTGGGGCATGGGCGGGGCACGGTGTAGTGGCCGTAGCGGGGATCGGCTAGCAGCCGTAAGGGGTTCGATGCCCAGGGATTTGCAGCACGCCAAGCTGTTGATCAACAGCTGCCCGACGCCTGTTGTAAGTTATTTGCTTCTTAGGTTTTAACGCATATCATCATCATCAGCCTATTAATGTCCCCACTGCTGGGGCACAGGCCTTCCCTAGTCCTCCTCCCTAGGAGGAGCTCGATAGCGCAGGTGGTTAGCGCGTTCGGCTGCGATAGTTGAAGTTAAGCAACTTTAGCAGTGGTCGGTCATTGGATGGGTGACCAAAAATTACTATCTCGAGTTCCTCCGTGCTTCAGAAGGCACGTTAAGCCGTTGGTCCCGGCTGCATTTGCAGTCGTTAGCACCCGCCAATCGCACTGGGCCCGCGTGGTGGGTCATGGACCAATCTCCCTATTCTATCCATAGGGAAGGCCTGTTTTCACGCACATCACTCATTAAATAAAACAAGATTCAACGGATTAGATGCACTGATTGTATTTATTTATTGACGTTTCGCAGCCTTTACAGTATGCGTTGTCGGTATAATCTGTAATCATCATGTTTAGGTTGAAACTTGTTTTATTTGAAAAAAATCCACGTGGGCCAGGCAGCGGACGGGACTCGAACCCGCACCCTTCGCAGTATTTATTTTTTTCTAGTAAAACATTTCTTTATATTTAAACATCTAGCAGTTAAATGCTTAAAAAAATAAAAACATAACTATAATTGCTATCTCTTCTTTCAAATGTTTAATATTTGTAAAAGTATTCATTTGACATTGTGGGTTACCTACAATGCGAAGAGACGGCGCTGCCTTGCAGCTTAAGGCTAAGAAAATTTCGACGCGGCCATCAGGGCCGCGGTAGCATAATTGGTCAGTGCATTCGCCCGGATTGCGAAGGGTGCTGGTTCGAGTCCCGTCCGCTGCCTGGTCCGCGTGGATTTCTTTCTAGTAAAACTTTTCTTTAAATTTAAACATCTAGCAGTTAAATGCTTTAAAAAATAAAAACATGACTTGGTTTTTTTTTTGAATTTTTTTTAAAGTCATTAATCAGCTCGATTTATAAATTAAAACGTCGATAGAATAGCAATTAATGCATTCGCCTGGACAGCGGAAACCTCAGGTCCTCGAGTCCTCTCTGAAACCGTGGCGGAGTTGTATTTTTTTCCAAAAAAAAAATCGTTTATCACACTAATAATATTATAAAGGCGAAAAATTGTGAGTGTGTATGTTTGTTACTTCTTTACGTCTAAACGGCTGGAGCGATTTCAATAAAATTTGGTATGGAGTTAGCTGACACCCTGGATTATCACATAGGCTACGTTTTACTGCAGAAAAACATCCCTTATAAACAGCTGGTATTACCGCGGGGCACAGCTAGTTCTTAATAAAAACAGTTTTTAAGGGATGAATATATCATACACTAGCTGTGCCCTACGGTGTTCATCATCATCATCATCAGCCTATTAATGTCCCCATTGCTGGGGCACAGGCCTTCCCTATGGATGGAATAGGGAGATTGGGCCATGACCCACCACGCGGGCCCAGTGCGTATTGGTGGGTGCTAACGACTGCAGATGTAGCCGGGACCAACTGCTTAACTTGCCTTCCGAAGCACGGAGGAGCTCGAGATAGTAAATTTTTGGTCACCCATCCAATGACCGACCACTGCGAAAGTTGCTTAACTTCAACGATGGCAGCCGAACGCGCTAACCAATTGCGCCATCGAGCTCCTCCCTACGGTGTTACCCACGGTTTATTAGGGACTAGCGCCCGCCCGCGACTTCGTACGCGTGGAGTTAGTGGTTCACTGCTCGTTCCCCGTAGGTGATAGCGTGATAATATGTAGCCTATATGTTGACCCGACTTCTTAATAATATTCGTGCCAAAGGAGATCCGCCAAAATGACCCCAGGCCCGGCGCTAAAGCAATGTGTCTCAGTTTTCTACTATATATTCCATCTACTACCTAGCCATAAGACATATAATAAAATGGTAGGCAAGTCAAAACTGTACATTGAATATATTTTAAAAGAATACTTGGGGTGTGATCTACAATCGATATCGAAGTCAAAAATATAGTTTTCAGAATTATTGTCTGTCTGTATGTATGACCGGGATAAACTCAAAAAGTACTGCATGGATTTATTTCAAAGGAGATCCGCCAAATCCCATACAAAATTACCCCAGGCCCGGCGCCAAAATAAAGTAACTCAATTTTTAGAGCAAAAATAGCAATAATATTATATAATTTCGGTATTGTTAAATTCGCATGCTAACATAGTTTTTTTGTCTGTTGAATTTTCATAGGCACTTTATGAAAAAAAATAGTTTTTAAAGAGTCCTTTTTAGTTCATTAACATTGTAATAAATAATAATGGCATATAAGCATGTATATCAATCATATTATATAAAAACTAGCTGACCCAGCGAACTTCGTACCGCCCTAAAAAAATAGGGGTCGTCCAGCGGACAAAATTGTAAATCTAAACCATTCTCAGATCCCCTTGAACACACACAAAAAATTTCATCAAAATCGGTCCAGTCGTTTAAGAGAAGTTCAGTGACATACACACTCACAGAAGAATTATATATATAAAGATATTTCATTTGCAGTTATATTTTTATTTAGAAAAAAAAAATAGTTTAATCTTCCCATAAATAAATAGAAGAATCAAGTCAAACGTTTCAGTTTTTGCTTTTTGTTTGTATTATATTCTAATGATATTTACAGTACAGTACATACATGCTTATATGCCATAATCACTAATTACAAGATTAATGAACTAAAAATAACGACGTTTCTCTAAAAAATATTATTTTACAAAGAGCACCTATTAAAATTCAACTGGCAAAAAAACTAAGTTAGCATGTGAATTTAGCAATACCGAAACTATATAATATTTTTGCTATTTTTACTCTAAAAATTGAGTTACTTTAAATAAAACTAGTTTTTACGGGTTAATGCACGAAACTCTATTTATTTATTGACGTTTCGTATCCTTTACAGGCTTCGTCGTCGGAATAAAACTTTTTTTTTTTTTACAAAAAACGTCAATAAATAAATAAAGTTTTGTGCATTAACCCGTAAAAACTAGTTTTATTTAATGAGTGATGCGCGTGAAAACCTAAGAAACAAATGAGTTACTTCATTTTGGCGCCGGGCCTGGGGTAATTTTGTATGGGATTTGGCGGATCTCCTTTGAAGTAAATCCATGCAGTACTTTTTGAGTTTATCCCGGTCATACATACAGACAGACAAAAATTCTAAACACTATATTTTTGACTTCGATATCGATTGTAGATCACACCCCAAGTATTCTTTTAAAATATATTCAATGTACAGTTTTAACTTGCCTACCATTTTATTATATGTCTTATGGCTAGGTAGTAGATGGAATATATAGGTAGTCGTCGAGTCTTGGTTCAGTTCAAACACGTCACTTCGAATATACACTTTAATTTACCTATTCTAATTATTACAGTCACAGAAGGGCTAGTAACACAGTGGTATGGCAGGTCTTGATATGTAGAACATACGCAAAAGCAAATATTACATTTAATCAGAAATCAATATATCTTTATTCAAGTTGGATGTATAGTACAACACTTTTGAATCGTCCAAACATTTTTTTCCCTACCACTCGTTATTGGACATATTTTTTAGCTGCGGAGAAAAACGAGCGAAAAAAACTCCACAACATTAAAAGCATAATGTAACAACATTTACAAATCATTATGTTGTTACAACGTCAATACAATCATGATTTATTTATTATATAGAACACCTGTTGGAATGATGGAACAGTTCAAACCCAAGCATTTTTGTCTGTAATATAATCAGACACTTTGTAATAAGCTTTTTTAATAAGTGCTGTTTTTATACTATCTTTGAATTTATTTATGCTTAACTCTTGGATATTGCTTGGGACTTTATTGTATAAGCGAACACAAAGACCTTTAAATGAATTATTGATTTTAAAATAACATGTATTTTATGTAACACTTCCTAATTCATTCGGCTTAATTTTTTCTAGTTATATTTTCTTTAGATTTAAACATCAAGCAGTTACCTGCTTAAAAAATAAAAATTATAGCTTTCAATAAGACAATTTGAATCACAACTAATATTATAAAGGCGAAAGTTTGTGAGTATGTTTGTTACTTCTTCACGTATAAACGGCTGGAGCGATTTTAATAGAATTTGGCATGGAGTTAGCTGACACCCTGGATTAACACATAGGCTACGTTTACTGCGGGAAAATATCCCTAATATACCGCGGGTAACACCGCGAGGCACAGCTAGTATAAATAAATAAATAAATATTTCCAACACTCACACCAATTAGCCTAGCCCCAAAGTAAGCACTGTAAAGGCTTGTGTTATAGGATACTAGGGTAACGGATAGAATACATATATTGTACATATATAAGTATATTTATATGAAATACATATTAAACATCCATGACTGGAGTACAAATGCTCGTATTCATCACACAAACATCTGCCCCCACCGGGATTCGAACCCGGGACCTCTCGAGTCGGCGACGCCATGAAACCCGGCGTATAAACCACTCGGCCACGGAGGTCGTCATAGTATAGCATAATTTCATTTCATTTGTGTGTCATTTCCAACACTAGATCTAAGAAACATATTTTTTGTGTTTTATTACTATTCATCATCATCAGCCTATTAATGACCCCACAGCTGGGGCACAGGTTTTCCCTATGGATGGAATAGGGTGATTGGGCCATGACCCACCACGCGGGCCCAGTGCGGATTGGCGGGTGCTAACAACTGCAGATGCAGCCGGGACCAACGACTTAACGTTACTTCCGAAGCACAGGGGAACTTTTTGGTCACCCATCCAATGACCGACCACTGCGAAAGTTGCTTTACTTCAACGATCGCAGCCGAACACGCTAACCACTTGCGCCAATTTCAAAACTTTTTAGATATGACCATTTTTCGTTACGATGTCGATGGCAGTATTGAACACTAATGTTCACAAACCAAAGCATCTGACTCTGTCTATACCGTCAGTTTATAATGTTACTGTCTTGTCCTGTCACTTTGTAAACAAACGAACCACTAACAAGTAATGGCTGGACTAAAACATACAATTTCATTAATAGCGTATTTGACAGTATTAAAAATAATGTGTCAATTGTTAGCATCTGTGTTTAGAATGAATATTGGCAGGGGTTTTTACTATTTTTACAAAAAAAATATTTATAATTTTACTAAAAATCCACGAAAAAGATAATAGTTTTCTTATCTATTGACACGTGACCCAAAACGCTTGGGATTGGAGGAGCCTAAAATGACGTCATACGCAGGTAAACTTCCGGTTAATGTGACATTACATTGTATCGTTTGACGTTTTAATAACAGTCGTGTGACGTCACACACTAGTAAGACGCCATATTGTCCAGAGAAACGTTTCCGTGGCAACTTGAAAATGGAGTTTTTGATTTGGTTATTTTTACTGAAATACACAACAGAATGATGAATATCCACTTTGAACGGACTCCATAAACATTATTCAATAACGTGTGATCGTTTTCTAAAACTTGTCAAATACCCTATTCCAACCCAATTCGTAAATTCAATCACTCATTCACCTCATTCGTACATTCATGCCATTCCTACATTCATTGTTTTATTTCCAGGTAGACATATTGTTTCATCGTGTACCGCTGGGTAAAATCTACGTTATCAACAAGAGGGATCAAGAAAGCATAGGCAAGCAGCATATTTTTTTCATCTATTCCTTTTTATTGTATGTGTTTATTTTGTAACACACCAATTAGCCTAGCCCCAAAGTAAGCACTGTAAAGCTTGTGTTATGGGATACTAGGGTAACGGATAGAATTAGATAAACAACAATTTATTAATAAACGGTTTTTAAGTTTGGTTAAATTATCTTTTTATTTTTATCAAAGTTCTATTACAATCACCTTAGGATTGAATTATTAAATTTTTATACAAAAAAATAAAAATTGATTTATTTTTTAAATTTCAGAAAGTGTATTTTTTAAATAAAGAAAGATATAACGTAAACATTTTCTCTTGATTAAGTTAAATTTTGAAAATATATCAGCTTTTGCAAGTGATCTCAAACTTTTTTTGATGTGTGTACATACACGTATCTATAAGGTTGTTGCCTGCTAACGATTACACCGTTTTGTTTTTAACTTTTTTCCATGTTTTGAAGAAAAAACATTTCAGTCTACCGAACAAAAGTGTTTCAAAGAGTGTTTTAACTGGCTTACAAAAAATTATATTTTCTTTCGTTGTAGGTATAAAACTAGACAATGAATGCAATATAGTGAGTGTGGAGCGCAACTCCCCCGCGGCGCGGTGCGGGCTCCCTCCCCCTCCCGCGGGCCCTGGCCCGGGGGCGTGGGCCCTCACCGAGGTCAACAACCGGCCCATCAACCTGCTCAAGGTGAGTCGAATGTCACCACCGATCCAATCGTTCCTTCGTGACATTTCATTCTTTCATTCCTTCCATATGTACTTTCATTCATTCCAATCATTCGTACATTCATTTCACATGTATACTCATTCGTTCCATTCGTGTATTCGTTAATTCCATTCGTACATTCTATCATTAATTCACCTCGTTCGTACATTCTTCATTTCAACAGTACATTCAATCATCATTCACCTCATTTGTACACTCATTCATTCATGTCATTCGTACTTTCATTCATTAAGGCCAGGTGTACATTCATTCCATTCGTTTACTTCATTTATTGCACTCTTTCATATTTTCATGTCGTTAAGAAAAAGATGATGTTTTCTTCAAGCCTTTGAAGTACTGTTCATTTAGATCGCGGTCTCGGTAGCACGATTAATGTATTCAATGTAGTGTTACACCTCGTTTACACCAAAAATCAAGTCCAAACTACTTTTGTACGAAACTTGTTGAAAAAATATAGAATAGAATATATTTTATTAACCCTCATTTACTGATACAAATTCAAAAATCTCAGGGCTAACCAGGACCCTGCCTCAGCATTAGCTGATGTGACATTGTGTCGCAACAGGCCCTGCCAGGATAACAGCGCTGATAAGGCACCAGCTCTGTTATTCTGGCTGAGCCTGTTTCATCATCATCATCATCAGCCTATTAATGTCCCCACTGCTGGGACACAAGCCTTCCCTATGGATATTAAGTGACACAAATAAAGACTTGTAAAAAATTTTCATTACTTACTTGAAAGGATGTATGTATGGACCTAGCATCCTCCATTCAAGTAACAATAAAAAAAAAGTCAGTAAAAAACAACAGAATAACAGCAAGCAAAGCAATGCAAAACAAAGTGAAGAAATTCGTTTAATTTCAGCCTGGAAATACATTTAAATTCAAAATATACATTAAAACATTTTGTCGTTTACACTGCGTAGACAACTAGTCTCTGACAAGTATCTATCACTCATTCACTGCACATATTTTGTTTCTCCTACAAGTTTGATACAAGTATTGTATACTACATATAGTGTGAACAAAAAATGAAAACATTGTATGAAACTTGTTAAATACATATATTAAACCTTGGTGTAAACGAGGGGTTACAAGTTTACCCTCAACATGCAACCAGACCGAGCAATGTTACTTAAAACGGAATAAGACGATTCATCAAATGTGATTCATATATGCAATGATTTGTGAATGGTGAACAGTAAAATGCATCGTCTGTATAAAGACGCATCACTTTTTGATGAAAGCTTAATATATTCTATTCCTTGTGGATTAGGGATGATGACTATTTTTTTTTCTTCGTTTATCAGGTAGATTATGAAAAAGTATTGGACACGTATTTTTTCTTTTTTCACATAATATAAACATTGCAGAGATAGATATATTGATTTGAAAAGTCGCATGACGTCACGTTTGAGTACACTTATAAGTGAAAATTCACTCAAAAGTGACGTCACGAGTCCCTACTCCCAAAATTTGACGCGCTATAACTTTGTCATTTTTTGGTTGATTGCCCAAAGAAAAAATACGTGTCCATTATTTTTTGATCATCTAACTGACGGACTAAATAGAATTTCGTTTACTGTACCCCGTCATCACCCCTATTCCTACGTGAATGTCTGTGTCGTGCTTTTTAATTAAAGAATAAAAACTGAGACAGTGAAAGAAATGAAATGTGAATGAGCTGTCGCTGTTTAGACATTTTACTTGTAGCCAAAAAAATACTGGTCATGTCAGATTTGGGCACTTGCAGTCAACAAAGAGGGGATATAGTTTTTTGGTCCACTATTGAACTCGGCTTTGCATGAGGTTTTCTTTCTTCTTCCCAATCTTTATTTCAATCTTACAAAATCTTTAGCCCAAAATATTATTAATTATTTTTTTCTGACAGATAGTAAAATCGCTGCCATATTCATTTTAAATACAGTTGCCAGTACAAGTAATAAAATTAGAACTTTATTGAATACTTTTCGCACTGGCAATAAGTCTATTGTAGATAAATATATTTTTTATTTTAAGCATTTAAATGCTTTTATACATGAAATGTAATTGTTTTATTTATTTAGATATTGTAAGCAGTTTGATTTTTTAATTAATTATATTTATTTTGTATTTTTACTAGGGGGGAGAAGATGAAATGCATCGGATAAGTCTACACGGCACAGAAGTTTCTGTTTTACTTCAGCCGTCATCTCTAGTCAAGAAACTGCGCGCCGCCCTCAAAGCAAACAAGCATCTACTGTCTATGAGATAAGGACTATTTTACTGTAATCACTTTTTCATTAAATTTTAAATGAAAATGTGAGCAATAATTGTCTCTGTTGTCTATTATATAAAGACTGTATTAACTGTATTTTCTGAAAGTAATGCAAGGCAGTTTAGAGTGAATAATACACTCTATTGTTTATGTGATACAGACGGTTTCACTAAATCACACACATTAGTATACTTTTCATTGTCTCTTTAAAACAATTTTAGGGCAAATAACACTCTGTTGTATATGAGATAAGGACTGTTTTTCTATATCACTTTTATATATAAAACTTTTCAGGGAAATGCGAGACAGTTTACAGTGAATTAGACTCTGTTTAACTCTGTTAGGAATGCAGTAAGGACGATTTTGCTTTATGTCATACATTGCTGCACTTTTTATCGTACAAACTCCTCCCTCAAGGCAAGCACGTCCTGTCTAAGGGCCGTTCAAGTATTACGTAAGCACTATAGGGGGGCAGGGGGGTCCTTGATTTGCTCATTTTTGATGACATGGGGGGGGGGGGGGGGTCGAGATAGTGATTACGTCAGCATCATGGATTCAGGTGTCATGGACCGAAGGCTGTTCGGTATACATATACCAAAAATTCGTAAGAAACTTAATAATATTATATTTGTACCTTACTATATGTTAAATACTGTGTCAATAAAGTTTGTTTATATGAATATTATGTGCGTTACAGTCCTCTATCCGAAGCCTATTTAAGTACTGCTGCTCATGAAGCTCACGAAAGCTCATGAAACATTAAAGGAAAAATGCATATAGCTCAATGTTTACGTAAGCATGGGGAGGGGGGGAAAGAGCTTTGCTTACTTTTGCTGAAAAGGGGGAAGAGGGCGGGGGGGGGGGGAAATAATTGTAATAAATCTGCTTACGTTATACTTGAACGACCCCATATGAGTTAAGGACTGTTATACTATAGCATTTTTACACTAAACTCTTCAGGGAAATGTGAGGCAGTTCAGAGTAAATAAGACAACAAAAACAGTTTTATTGTCGTATAACACACATTCTAGACTTTTTTATTTCTAAGGAAACTGTCAGGAACAATTTAGGGCAATGAAGTCTTTGTTTTGTATGTGATAAGGACTATTTTATCATATCACTTTTTATTAAACTTTTCAGGGTAATTTGAAACAGTTTAGAGAGAATCAGACACATAGTGTATGCAAAAAAATATGGTTTTACTATATCATGTATATTTCTAGATATTTTACAGTCTCTAAAGAAATTGTGAGAAACTTTTAGGGCAAACAAGCATCTACTGTTAATGAGATAAGGACTGTTTTACAATATAATAAATATTTCCAACACTCACACCAATTAGCCTAGCCTAAAGTAAGCACTGTAAGGCTTGTGTTATGGGATACTAGGCTAACGGATAGAATACATATCTCTTATATATTAGACAAGTCCGTCCGTCCGCCCGTCCGTCTGTCTGTGGTGCTGTTTCAGCGGCCAATCCGTAAGAGATAGATAAAGAGAATGTTTAAGTTATAAGTTAAGAATAGTCTGATAAGACTACAAACCGGATTTGAGTAACGTAACACTTCCAGTTTTCGAGAAATCACGAATTTCAAACGAAACCACACAAAATCTCCGAAGTTCTCAATTAATTAAATACATTTTTTTTTTTAATTGGTGAACATTTGGTTCACTGGTTTGCTAGTATAAGTATATTTTTATAAAAATACATATTAAACATCCATGACTGGAGTACAAATCGATCGAATCCGGGACTTCTCGAGTGGGCGACACCTTGAAACCCGGCGTGCAAACCACTCGGCCACGGAGGTCGTCTGATGAATATGACTTTATATTAAACCTTCCAGGGTAATTTGAAGCAATTTAGAGTAAATACGACACAAAGTGTATGAAATAAAGACTATTTTACTATAGCACTTTGATACTACACTTTCTAGGGAAATGTGAGGGAGTTTAGAGAAAATAAGACATATTGTGTTTACAATAATAATAATTGTTTATTCCAGGCATAAAAAACCCAATAAAAATTCATATACAAAATTAGAAAAAAGCAAAAGTGTAAACAAAATTATAATAAAAAATAAAATAAAATCATAAAATAATAAGAACGGTTTAACTTTATAACATCCATCCTAGACTTTTTGCTTTCTTTAAAGCAGGGTTTCCCAACGTTTTCTTGGTCAGGGACTACTTTTACATTATTTTTTTTTTGGCACCACCACAAATTTTAGTGTAATAAAAATAAACTAATAATCAAACTGAAACTTTAATTAAAAATCTAATATGAAATTAAATTAAAAGAAATACTATGAAACAGTGTCTACACAATGCGTCATGTCTATAATCTATTTTGATTACGTTACGGTAAACTCGGCAAAGATAAAAAAAGGCGTTCAGATGGTTTAAATGGAGTATGGGTGATTCTCAGTTAAGAGGTATGTTCGACGGCTAAGCCAAAAAAATCATTATATTTGGAAATTATGGTCTAACATCTGAATAATTTCAATTAACTAAATGTGTTCTAAATCGTCACTTAAAATTATATTCTAAATGTGCATAATTTACTTACAATAACAGCACAAAGAGGAAAAACATCTCTCCCCTGGGTTGTCCCCTAACCGTTTTTTTTTGTAAATCAGTAATTTTGAGTCCATTGAAATTTAATTATTACTTTTCTATCGGTAATAACATGAACCCTGATAACTTAGTTACAGTATGTAACCATTAAATTCATTTATATTTGCACTTTTTATAAAAAATATTAATCGCAAACTGTGTCCTCCGAGTTTCGTGTCTCGCCTTAGGTTTAGTTTGAAAATCGTATTTGTTTACCATAGTCTGTGGTAGTTTTGACCTTGAAGACACCGAGTGTCACGTGAAGTTAGCAGCAAGCGCTGCACAATCCATCCGCGTGGCAATTTTTTTGGCCATTTGCGCAACTGTGCTCTATGAGTGCATCCGTGTTGAGTGATCGAAGTATTTACCCTGGTAATTTTTTTTCGTATTTATGTGTTTAAATACTACAGTGGTGTCAATTCTGGCGTGATTCTCTAAACTTAAAACTAAATTTAACATCAGTCTCTCCTTTTCATTCTGTATAGAGAATGACAGGGATGCACTGTTGTCAAATTTAAGTTTAGCTTTAGAGAATTATGCCAGAATCGACATCAATATCTATATACATTTATTTTAAATAGTGCTGCAAACCTTTACTTTATTTGTAATCTTTGTAAAATTATTAGTTTTACGGCAATTTTAGATTTTTAACGAAAATGTCTCGTCCCTTATCATATTTCCCCTGGCTGTTATGGTGCCAAGCTACTAACAAAACTATGAAAACGATGCAATAGCTCAATAACAGTAATGATAATTTATTAGAGAATATACAATTGCATATAATTTTAGATAATTGTTTAGCTTTATATCGTTATTCCACTAAAATCTGATTGCACGGATAAGTACTTTACATCCTAATATGCGCTCTAAGCGCATTGCAATAAAGTTCATCTTGTCTCTACCCTGTACTCAGTATCTCCCCTGGTGTCTCGTAAAACGAGAATAAATTAAAAAAATGACTGATCATCTTAAAATCATATTAAAATCATCTGTCTTGATAAAAGTAGAGGTATAGTTATATAAATATCGACACTTTTTGCTGTGCCACTGCTTCCATGCAACCGATTACCTCTTAACTGAGAATCACCCGTATATCTTCAAAATTTTAATGTCTAGGTTTTTCGGTTATTTGCACATTCTATTATAACTTACCAAATAAAATTATAAAATACCATACTCCCACAATTTAATTTTACACTATAGCTCTCACAATCCACGCGCCAGATGCGTAAACAAACACACAAATTAATTAAAAATTCGTGGACCCATATTTTGGCTTCTGCGGACCACTGGTTGGGAACCATTGCTTTAAAGAAACTAAAAATTTAGGACAAATGAAAATGTAAATTTCATAGACTATTTTACTATATAAAGACATATTGTGTTTGCAATAAGGAAGGTTTTACTCTGTAACACGCATTCTAGCCTTTTTTATGTCTAAAGAAACTGTGAAGAACAATTCAAATGCAAGGCAAATAAGACTCTGCTGTCTATGATATAACTATTGTTTTACTCTATCACTGAGACTGTTTTACTAAATCAACACATTTCCACCCTTCTTGAAGTGAAACTTTTTAAGGCACGCTTGATTTGGGGGGTTAACTGGCTAATGCGTTACGCGTTACGAAAAGTGTGTTCGGGCGAGGCGAATGGGAGTTGTCTCACGTTATTTACTAATGTTAGTAAATAACGTGCGATCGTTTTCTAAAACCTGTCAAATAACGTATTTATTTGAGAAACTCGTGGAAAAAATATGTTGTATTTATAAAGAAATACTAATAGTGATTTTAGAGAAAATTTTACACCATTTTGAACTTTACTAGTGTAATTTTTATAGCACGAATGAGCAATATTTCGCGTAAGGAAAAATATTTTTTAATATTGTATACAATTTTTATATATATTTATATCATTATTGTAGTCTTGGATCTTTCTAATGCATTTGTTAATATCTGAAAATCTTTTTTGGGTTAACACTAACTTTAATGAAAAGTTTACTAGAAAAAAATCTACGCGGACCAGGCAGCAGACGGGACTCGAACCCGCACCCTCCGCTATCCTAGCGGATGCACTGACCATTATGCTACCGCGACCCTAATGACCGTGACGAAATGTCTCTAGTATTTCTTAGGCTCTTTGCAGGCCTGGTCCGCGTGGATTTACTTCTTCGTAAAAACGCAAATTTTAAGTTATATTAACTGCTCTTTTACAGTAAATAAATTTGAAATAAACTGCAGTTCTTAGTTAAATTCGACTCTTATTTTGACCAAAGAGAATAGACGATATTGGGCATAGATCGTAAAAGGATACAGCCATCAAAAATTGTATAAGTTCCATAATGCATGTTTTTCATAGACATAGGATTTTTTTATATAACTTGACAATCAAATGTACATCATCATCATCATCAGCCTATTAATGTCCCCACTGCTGGGGCACAGGCCTTCCCTATGGATGGGTTAAGGAGATTGGGCCATGACCCACCACGCAGGCCCAGTGCGGATTGGCGGGTGCTAACGACTGCAGATGCAACCGAGACCAACGGCTTAACGTGCCTTCCGAAGCACGGAGGAACTCGAGATCAGAGGCGGCGTAAGGCGTGGGAGACGTGGGCCACCGCCTACGGCCTCGCGGTAGTAATGAATGATCAGATATTTATGGTCACTTGTAGTGTATAGAACTTATTGACATTTTAACTGTTCAGATGTATTTGGTCATCTTGTATGCTCAGATATATCTGATGGCGACTGTACAAGGGGCCCCGCGCCTCAAAAATTTTTATGCATTGCTTTAAAGCGAATTTCCTTTTTGTTTATTGTTTTATAAAATCCGTCTTCAGGTCGC